GCGTGCTAAATGTTGAATAATGTTAAAGAAAAACTGTGATTGCTCCTCACCTGGGAAGCCTCCTCTGACCTCAGTAGCCCCTGAAGCAGAGTTAGTCCGCCACTATCCACATTGCTCCCCATCATGCCTCTATCTGTGTTTCAGCACCTCTCTATCCTACCCACTGTTTATGTGCCTGGTTCCCCCATGCAATTTTGTGCTTTCAAAGGCAGGGACCTATCTCCTTCATCTTCATAATCCTCAGGGCCAGGTACAATATCTGCGACATTGAAGGAGCCAATAAGTGTGTCGGGGAGAAGAAAACATATTGGATTTAGTAATGTTGTAAAGAAAATGAGAATTGTCTGATATGGTATGTTCTTAATTCCCCAATCAAGCCCTAGGAAACACACACTCATCTGGGAGATGCTCATAAACCACTCCTCTCCTCCCGCCGGGGTCCACTTCAAAGTCACCCTGCTAGTTGGCAGGATGTATCTTCTGCCTGTGCTTGAAAATTAAAATTATATTTGTGCATTTCTAATCTCCTGCAGTGAGTGTGATAAACCAAACACACACAACATGGACTTCGGGGTCAGACAGACCCAAGCCTGCGTTTCCTCATCTACAAAATCAACATCACTATTACCTCTTGGGATTCCTGAGGATTAGCAAGTAATGGATATGAAAATGCCTCATACTCAGGGGGCCCTGGCTGGACGGCGGTTTTCATTTTCAACAGAGCCTCAGGATGGCTGATTGTAACTTCATAGTCTCATTTGTTAGTGCTCCTAGTGTTTATGGGGGCGAGGAGATGTGGAAACGCATAGGACAGTAAGGGAATCTTTTAGGATGTCATGACTTAAACACTTAAAGGGAAAGAATTAAATGTTTATCCGGCCTCTCCTGTATGAACTGCACCACTGAGCAGCCAAATAATAAGTAAAATTTTCTTTTTTAAGAACATTTCAGCTAACTGATGAAGAAGGAATGATAGACTACCAACTGTTTGCAGCTCCTAATGAATTCATGGATCTAGGCAATGATCGTCAATGGCTGTGAAAATCACCCAAAGAAATATTCTTGCAAAAAAAAATTGAACAAAAAAAAAGTTGAACCCAAATTTGACCAAGCCTCTGAGTACAACTGCCAATTTACAGGAAACATTGTAGAGTTGGAACCGGCAAAAATCCCCATTATAGGAAACTATAGTACAAACAATTATGTTTCTTACACAAAGAGAAAGAAGAGAAATGCACAGAAAATTTTAGATGAAAAAATACCAATGAGATACATCAACCAATCAGAATATATAGAACTTATTTGGATCCTGATTTTTTTAAGCAATTTTTTAAAAAAGACACTCGTGACATTTATGAAACAACTGGGGAAAAAAGATTTATGACTTATCTTAAACTAATGTTTCCCTTTAATGGTGTACATTTTGCCCTGTGCTACCCAACATCATTCTCCTGGATTAAGAACACAGAATTCACAAGGAAATTAGATTTACTTCTAACTCTGGATGAGCCTGGGTCAAGAGCACACATGGCTCTCTTACCATGTATCTAAATATCTAAAAAATGTTCTCTAAACAGATGTAATCCCCTCCCCCACGAAAAAACAGAAACTTGGACAAGGGCATGTGGCAGGCAGGCTATTTGGGGAGCGATTCCAAGGAGGAGTAGAGGCCTTGGAAGAAAGAACAAGGGAAGAAGGGAAAACTACCCCAACTGTACATTGTCAAACTGATCGCCACTCTGGGCAACTGTCTTGACCCTTGATCCTTGATCCCTAGGGCTTCTCCAAAAGACCGTGTAGAATGTACCTGTGAATTATCTTTGTGAGAAATAGAAGAGGGAAACAGTTACTCATGGTTCCTAGATTCCGTTAGTCAAGGGTTTCCCATGGTAGGTTAACTCCCAGCTTTTCTAGGTATATATGTGTGTCAGATTGGCTGACATGGTCCCAGCAGGTGCTCCCTGGGGGAAGCAGGGAAGCTCCAGGGAAGAAGGTGGACAATCCACAGTGTAGCTGAGGCAAGGTGCTACTGGGCTACCCAGGATGCAGCTGGTTACCATAGTAACAGCTGGACTGAAGGATGGGCAGGAAGGATGTGAGGTAGAGGGCAAGAGATGCCCATTACAGATCCCGAGCCGGCACATTGCTAAGTCAAACATAGCCTATCTTCCTATCTTGCACATCACTTCCACAAAGACTTGGAGACCAGGTTCAAATCGAGACTTCTCAGCCCACTTTGAGTTCGGCCTCCGAACGTGATGGCATCGGGAGATTTGATCTCTCCTCCCAGACCCGTGGCCCTTCTCTGCCTAGCCCTGGGTCTACCTCATGTCATAGGGGCTTTTCACACATGCATGTGGACAACCTGCCTACACCTCCAAGTTCCATTCACCCCTCCCTCACAAACAGCTGCTCCTGGGCCACGTGAGGCCTAGAGGAGTGCACACTAGGGCCACTCTCAGGAACACATGCCTGTGAAGAGGCCTAGGCAGGCTCTAGAACCAATCCAGAGCCTCCTGGGCAGAGAATTGGGGGTTCTGGGCACTCAGAGCATAGTCTAGAGCAGGAGGCAGGGTTCTGCGTGGGCATATACCTTTGGCCTCATGAGTTTCTCAATCCATTGTGAGGGATGTGGCTGGAGGAGGGCGAGAGTGTGGCCCATTAAAGCACGGGGCCCCAGGCAGAGAGGGACCACTTCTGCTCAGGCCAAAAGGCAATGCCAGTTCTTTGCCACCCGTTCACTTTAGATCATAGGCCACGGAGTCAGACAGATCTTTGTCAAGCTTACTACTCACCTGTTCAGTTTCTTCAGTTGCAAAAGGGAAGGTTGTGAGGATTAAAAGAGAAACTATTCCACAAACAGCTGCCCCGTGCCTGGCATATAGTGGCCCTTCACAGGAGGCAGGTCTGTGAGGGGCCGGAAGTGCTGCCTCTGTACAATGATCTGGGGCCAGGTTTTGTGCTCAGGGTGGAGGTATGACCAAGGAGACTGAGGGAAGGGGCACAGGTTGGAGACAATGAACTTTTTCTCTATCTGGTGCAATTTTCCTGGAAATGTACAAAGAAGAGCAATTTGATAGTTTTTCCACACAGTCCCAAAACTTCTTTAAAGCTTGTTGCAGATCCCGCTGGTCTGTGAGCTCCTTGAGTACAGACTGCATATTGTTCTCTGATAAAACCCTACCTCTTTGCTCATTGCCTGGCACTATTATGGTAAGTGCTCTCTAAAAAAGTGTAGGATGGATGATTTCAAATTGGGTTTATTGCTTTTAATGGAAGACTCTCATTGGCTCTCAAGTTGGCTCTCAAGTTTCCATAGACGTCTCAGACTGGAATCATTCTCTTCCTCCAACCTGCTCCTCCTCCCAGTTCCCTGCCTCAGTGCGTGGCACCACCACCTACCCAAGCCAGCAGTCAGGACATCATGCTCGGCACCTCCCGCTTCATCACCCCTTATACCTGATCAATTATCATGTCCTGGAGATTCTCTCCATTTGGTAGTTTTTGAATGTATCTGATTCACTACCACAAACCTAGTTCAGGCCACTATTCTCTCTCCCTTTTAGTGCTCACTTCACACCCATTCAGGTTCCCTGGATATGTCCTCCTCAGTGCAGCCAGAGTGGCCTTTACACATCTGATCACATCCCTCCTGGGCTCAGGGTAGAGCCCAAGCCCCTTGGCACAGCCTGCAGGACCCTCTGGTATCCATCATCTGCCCCACTAGCCTGTAAGGTCCTTGAGAACAGTCTTTGTCTTATATTTCTTTGTATCTCCTATAATCAACCAGAAACTCACTAACTGTTAGATAAATAAAATTTTTAAAAATCAAAACCATTTTTGACCTACTGAGAAAATTGTAAAATTTAAATCATAGACTTATACTATCAAACCTCAGATGAAGCAGGACCTGATGATCCAGGGCAGCCACTGAGTAACTCCTGGTGAGTTGATCTTGGTGAGCAGGAACCATACCTACGTTGGTTGCTTGGGTTCAGGGCTCTAGGCCCCTTGCATTGACCTTCTTTTGGGTGTGAAGTTAATTTAGTCCTGGAGTGAGTCACTGGGCTATTTCTAGGAATCACCATCTTTCTCTGGAGTCATCTCTGCTGACATCTGACACATTTACGCCATGTGGCTGCTCGACGCAACCTGTGCTTGTCTGTTGCAGAGAATCCATCCTCAGGGATTTATCTCCTACCGGGAAGATTTTGATAGGAAATCATTGAACTGGCCAGTCTTTGCTTTCATCAAACGAGCCCCACACTCGCATCAGCTTTCTTTTCTCATCAATCACAGGGGCCCCTTCTAATGTTTGTTGAGGGCAAAGGATTCGTGGTCTGATTTCTAGCACAGGGAGCATGCCATCAACAGGTTTTACCTATTTCTTTGGCTGGACAAACTGCTTAACACCTCTGAGTCTCAACTTGGTCATCTTTAAATGGAATAAAAATCATAATTATCTAATGAGGTTATTGTGAGGATTATGAGATGAAATGTGTATTGGGTTTAACATTGCATTGTAAAGGTTCTATGAATGCCAAGTATTATTTGTTTTTGTATGCTTTGTTTTAAAACAGGATTTGGGGAGCTACTAAAACATGCAAAATTATAAGATAAAAATAAGTAAGTGAGAAAACCAGAGTGACGAGGGACATTGCATCATTCCAGAGAATCATGAGGATTTTAGCTTTCTTACATAGGGTACCAACTTGGCCTTTCAGTCATTCATTGGCTGGATCAGCACTTAACTTTGAGCAGCTCTTCGGCATGGCACCCTATACAAAGGAGGAAAGGACCTTGTTTGTGTTTCAGCCTGGGACAAAGAGCCCAGAGACACCCAACTAAAACACAGTGTGGCAAGAACTGTGAGAGAAGTTGGAGGAGGGCGTGTGTGCAGGGCTTGCCTGGGGGAGTAGCCCTTGCATACAGCAAGCTGGGTTTGCAGCTACTTCCCTGTCCTCATGACATGTCTGCTTTGTATTCATGTTTCAGCAACCACTTTGTGGCTGAATGTGACAAATCAAGAAGATGGCCAAGATTAACACCCAGTACTCCCACCCCTCCCCAGCCCACTCTGCGGTAAGCACCACGGACAGAGATCTTGATCACGTTGAAAATGGCCTCAGCAGGTAAGATGGCTTTTCATTTTACGCCTGGAAGAAGTTATTCCCATAGCTGATCCGGACTGTGGGGGAAAGAAAGCCTTTGGAGGGCGAGGGCTATTCACAGTGCTCCTGCTAACTGCATTTTTCATCTCACTTAATCTGCACAACCCACACTGAAGCAGTTTTTATTCTCCTTTTAGAGATGTGGAAACATGAGGCTAAAAAGTTACATAACTTCTGGAAGGTAACAAATTGAAGATTCAAATGCATCAGACTAAATTCTACTGCAAAGATTTTAAAGTGCCACACTGTCCCATGTATACATCAGACATTTATTGGACTTTCTCTGAGTGTGTTCTGCGCACTAGGGACGTAGTACAAACCAGACATCCTGTCTCTCACTTCCAGGGGAAGATCGGGATTCGTGCCATGCTCATGGGCCTGTAGGCAGTGCCATGCCTTGGCAGCAGAGCCATCAGCCCCATCAATGACATGCCAACACAGGCAGCTGTCTGGAAATCTGGGTTCTGCTTCTAGCTCTGTTCCTAACTTACTAGTACACCTGGGAAAACTCACTTAACCTCTCCATGCCCCAGTGTCTTCGACTGCAAAAAATGGAGCAGCATTCTTTTCCAAGCTCCTGGCATACTAGTGAGTGAATGGAAGAGGACCTATTTGGTGCAAATGGACTTAGGTTTTATGTTTCTTAAGTTCTCAGTGAGTTGATTGAGTTGAACCATAGGAAACTTTATTTCCAATAATTATGTTATTTTTGTCCTACATACATAACACTGAAAACCTCTCCCTCCCATGATAGCTGCATATTATCTGATGGCCGAAAAATGCAATGACAGTCCCTCAGTCTCACATCCCTATCACCGGACCCTCCTCCATCATTTCTCCTCATTCGCTTGTTACGTCACTTCATCTCTCAGATGCACATTTGTTTTTGTTTTTACTCTGTCTTGGTTCTTGGTCCCAGCTCCTTAGCAAACTCTGCTAATAAGTGATGGACAACAATTTCCAAAGAGATTAAATCCCTATTATTGCAAACTTATACAGCCTTGGACCCCACCTTTTGGGACTCGGGCAAAGGAAGGAAAAGCACAAAGCATCCCAACAGATATTTATTCCCTCCAGCCATTTTAACTTGGTGCTGGGGCCCCGGGAAATTTGATATGACTCAGAGGCATCAGAAATTCCCACCCTACTAACATCTCTCTCTCCTAACGGGCCTACTGTCAATACCGTGTCCCACTGCCAGGGACTTGCTCCTTCAGGTTAAGGCATTGCCCCTTATTTAAAAGAAAAAAAACACTATTATGACAGCTATCTGCTATGAAAACTTTGGTATGCATTAGTAGTTTCTTTCCCACATCAGAGCTAATAAAACCCCTTGAACGGGAGGCTGCAAAGGGGGTTGGGGTGGAGGGGAGAAAAGGCCCAAGCTTGGACGTATCAGTACTGAGCAGAATTGGGCTCCTGGGATCTCGGGCCCAATGGGAGTAGGACAGAGGCTGGCAGGATCAGAGAGAACTTGAAGCAAAATGGAACTTTGCGCCATTGCTTCCTTTTGCTTCAATGGGGCATGACCTAAGCATCTCACGGAGCTTCCAGACTCCCTGCAGCAGAGAAGGCAGCAACGGGGTCTCAATCCGACTCCTTCCAGTGAGGTGCTCAAGAGGAGAAGGCAGCCCAGTCGGTGGGCTAGGGCTCCTCCCCAGAACTCCTGCTTGATCAGACAAGGCTGAGACAAGACCCCAGTCCAGCTGACTTGTCCTGGCTCTGCCTCAGCCAGCGACCTACACACCCAGGCTGACTTGTGGGCTGTTCAAGAGGGCTCACGAGGTCTCTTGGAAGACGACTCTTTGCAAAATGAATTGCTAGCTCATTAAGCCACACAGACACCTAGCCGTGGGCATCTAGCTTCCAGGAGACTCTCTGTGGGCTCACACTGGTTCATGCACACTCAGGGGGTCAGTCAGCCACACGATCAGGGACTCTGAATTGATGCCCTTTGACAATGCTATTTGCTGTCTTCGAGGGTGAGAAAATGCCCTCACTTCTCCTTTCTATCCCCTATTTCCTGAGCAGCATGATGACTAACAGCACAGACTCAGGGTGAGAATGCCTGGGTTCGAACCCTGACTCTGCAAGTGACCAGGTCCCAAAAGTTGTTCAACCACTCCAAGCCTCTCCGAGTTTTCTCATTTGTACTAGTGCTGACCTCAGAGGGTTATAGTGAGGTTAAAGAGGTTAGAGCTCTTGGCACAGCCCCTGCCATGTAATAAGTGTCAATCACCACTCACTGTCAGTCTTGGTATTGATTCCCCTCCTGTGGGCCTTCTCTGGTCACCCAGGCGGGAAGACGTCTCCTCCTCCTTTGACCTCAGGTAGCCCCAGCTATCTCAACATCTGGAACTGGCCATTTCCTCCCTGTGTCCAAAACATGCTTTCTCAGCCTGACCACCAGCCAAGTCTCACCAAGCCTCAGTTGGGGCCTTGCCTGACCATTCACATAGTGAAAGCTTGTTGACAGATTAATGCAGAATCCTGTGGAAACACTTCAGAGATTTCACAAGCAGAGTGAGAAAGAATGCTTCCTTCATGAGAGAGATGTGCTTTATCTTATGGAGGCAGGAGTGGGTGAAGAGATGGAAGTTTCCAGAATGGGTTCCTTAGCGTCACCAAGGATTGAGAACGCGTGTTCAGGCTGGGGATGGAGCAGCCACAGGCCGGGAGGCTGGGTCCAGGCCCCTCCTCTGCTTCCCAGCACAGCCCAGCATCTGTCTATTCACCAACTAGTTTTCCCTGTGAGATTTATTAGAAAGAAGGACTCTGGCACATACATATCAAACTTTAAAGTTTCCAATCACTGTTTTAGAGGAGGAAATGGTTTTTGAACAAACCATAGATCTTTGCCTTAAAATTCCAATCCTTTTAGAAAGCTCTTGGGAGAAATAATTGAGAATGTGTGTCCTTAAATATCAATCACTTTTTATTTATTGAAGAACGGCCTCAAGCAGTTGTGCTGGGAACCTGTGTGTTGGTGTGGCCCTTTGCTGAGTGCCCCAAGAGGGAGGAGCTACCATGTCCCCAGCCCCAAGGCATCCCTGCCCCCCAGGGCTTTCACCAAATTGGACATCCAGGTTTCTGTTTCTCTTTTTAAATTATTGGTATCATTTTCCTAGTGAAGAGTCATAGGAAAGGATGAAAATGTCTCATACAAACAAAGAATTGTTTACACCCTGAAAATACCAGAAATAAAAATGTCTTGCATTTTTCCTTTCTATTTAGATCTGTTCAGTTGACTCAATTATTTAAGAGTTGTCTGGCATATTTTTGAAGATAATGCAATAGAGAGAGACTTGAGAATCTGCTACAGAGAATTGCAGCTAGGACCCAGGGCACCCCACATCCCAGAGCAATCTCCTGGTGGAGCTATTTTGGGTGAGATTTGCGGCATAGGGATCTGTGTCCTGCAGAAGAGAAGCCTTCTTCATACTGCTCCCTGAGCAGAGCCCAAAGCAATTATCGCCAAAGAAAACCACTTTCAGCCTGCTTCCCCAGGACCCAAGACAAAAGCGCACTGACTTCAGCGCCCTGGCCACATGTGGCCAATGGCGATGTACGCCAATCATTCAAGTCCCTCAGGACTTGGGAGGAGGAAAAGAAAAATAAGGTATCTATTCCCCACACTTGTTCTAGAAGGTCACTTCTGTTTACCCTCATGTCCCCAAAGTCACCAGAGGAAGACACCAGCTGCTCCACAGAGTGCAAAGTTAATTACCACTTCCCATTCTGATGAGAACCTCTGTCCTCTCCCAATGACAGGAGAAACCTTACCTTGTGGACATGAACTCCTCTTCATAAATAAACTTAGAAGATGAGCATTACAAGTCGAAAATTACCTTGTCTTTCAAAAAAGTCTCTTCATTGTGTTGCACTAGTTGCTCTTGTTCTTGGTAATTGCTACTCCACGGGCTTCTTCTTGCAAAGGCCTCCTCACCACCCAGAATCAAAGGGGGCTCGAAAGTGGGAGGGCAGCTTCAGGGCTGTCCTGGCCTGACCTGCGCATCTCACAGAGACCAAGGCCCAGGCGAGTCTTTGCCCCAGCCCCTCAGCCAACTCTGGGCAGCACAGGGCCTGGCCTGCCGTCTCTCCTGCCCCTGTGTTTCCCTGAGAGGTTCTAGATCCCCATTCTTGCATTGATTGCCAAAAGTTCCTCCTTTTTTCAGTAGTGCCTGTGTGTTCTTGGGGACTCAGAATGTCACCTCAGACACTCAGTTCCTCTCCTCTCTTCCCATCTCCCCCTTCATCTGCTTGGTAAAATCAGTTTCCCTGAGGAGTAGCTAATTGGATTTACTATTTAAATACCCATGGGCATTTAACGAGGGTAAAGACTGGTAGTGGGTAAGATTCGGTGCTCTCATTGCAGTGACCTGGGTTCATTTCCCCATCACCACACCACCTGTCTGTCGACTATCATCGTGCGGCGGCTGCGTGTTGCTGTGATGCTGAAAGCTATGCCAGTATTTCAGATACCAACAGGGTCACCCATGGTGGGCAGGTTTCAGCAGAGCTTCCAGACTAAGACAGCCTAGGAAGAAGAACCTGGCCACCCACTTCCAAAAAAATTAGCCACAAAAACCCTGTGAATAGCAGTGAAGCCTTGTCTGATACAGTGCTGGATGGCGCAGAAAGACTGGGTAGGGTTCCCTCTGCTGTACACAGGGTCGCTAGGAGCTGGAATCGACTCAAGGGCACTAACAACAACAAGGACTCTGGAGCAAGAAGAAGGACATCGATCTGGTAGAATTTCAGGCATCCACAAACAAGTGGAGAGATGCTCGGGGAAGAAAAGTCGCCCCTGAGTCCTTTGAACTGACGTCATATAAGGCTCTCCCTATTCAGCAAAATGTGCCTTTCTGGGCTTGGGTCTTTAAACAATACTTAAATAAATATGTAATCAACAATTTTTTCTTTTTCCCTTTTTGAAGACCAGGAAACTTAAACTCAGGGAGGGTAAGAGACCAGCCCAGAGAACACCTAGCTAATAGGTGCTGGGGTACAGATTTGAACAAACCAGGCCTCCCAGCTCCCTACTCTACCGCCTTCTCCTCCAGTGGGCTTCGTAGATCCAGCCCGCCTGTGGCAGCTCTCACTACTGCCCGTGGCAGGCCTGCTTTGGGATCCAGGGTGAGTTTTGCTCCCCTGGCCTGCCCACCAGCTCTGATGTCACGGGCGTTGATTCCTTTGCTGCTAATGCAAATAAATCTGGTCTCAGGATGTGCCCTCACGTAACTAACAGAAAGCAGGCTAGGCAGAAATGCTGAGACGACGGCTTGGTGGCTAGAGTTCCGTGAGGAGCTCCTGGTGGGAGAGAACACCTCTATCCTCGGGATTGCCTCCAGATATTCCGGCACACATGCTGTGACAGAGCGCCAGCCCAGCTGCCAGTTGCTTCCCACATACAACGGCTAGGATCCAGGGACTATCCCCCTGCCTCCTCCTCCTATAACTGACCCACATGCCTTGGAACATGCATTCCACCTTTATAGTACAGGCATGTGCCACGCAACGATGTTTCAAGCAATAATGAACCACAAATATGGTTGTGGTCCCGTAAGATCAGTACCATACAGCCTAGGTGTGTAGCAGGCTATACCATCTAGGTTTGTGTAAGTACTGTAGGAGAGGAAGAGATTTTCCTGTACCCTTCTAGGTTCTTCTGGCTGGTCTAAGAATTAAATGATACAAGACAGATTAACAGGAGAAAAACAAGAGTTTAATAACATATATATATGGGAGAAACCCAGGAAAACCAAGCTCACCAAAATGGCCAAAGCCCTCACCTTAAATATCATCCTCAGCTGAAGACAAGAGGAGATGATGGGGGTGGGGAGAGTCAGGGACTTCAAAAGGAAGGAAGGTAATTCGTAGGCTGGTGAAAAGGAGCAAACATTTGGAAAACAAGCACTTGTTTGGCCACACAGAAACAAGAGAACACAGAGGGGAGCCCAACAAACAGGCTTTTCTAGATTCCTCCCTGTCTGCCACCTCGTTCATGTTATGCCAAGGTGAGAGCTCATTTCCTGAGACAGGAGCTTTTATCGGAATTCTTTTAGGCAGTTAAGGGGGATGTAACAAGAAAAACTTTCTGAGTCTTTTGTTTCTTAAAAATAATCAGCCTAAAATAATCTTCATGTTAAAGAGGCACTTTTTTTTTTTTTTGAGGAAGATTAGCCCTGAGCTACCATCCACCACCAATTCTCTTCTTTTTTTCCCCGCTGAGGAAGATTGGCCTGAGCTAACATCCATACCCATCTTCTTCTACTTTATCTGTGGGACGCCTGCCACAGCATGGCTTGAGAAGCTGTGCCATGTCTACACCTGGGATCCAAAGCAGTGAACCCCGGGCTGCAGAAGCGGAGCATGCGAACTTAACCACTGCACCACTGGGCCGGCCCCAAAGAAGCACATTTTGAGGTGGCAAATTTTGTTCCCCTTCAGTAGGCTTTATGATGTTTGCACAACGAAAAAAATCACCTAACGATGAGTTTCTCAGAACATATCCCATTGTTGGGTGACGCGTGACTGTACACAATATTAGAAGGCCAGGGGATTGTAGCTTCCTGAGTGTGGCAGGGCCTCTGCCAGGGTCTCTTATATGTAAGATGATGAGATGTAAGTGGTCTCTTATGGGATTAGAGGAAAAATTCAGTTAGGTGGTTTGGAAATAAAGAGCCATGCCCACATAGTGCGGCCAAGGGGAGCAGAACCATGTCTCCAGTGGCATGAAACATGACTCAGTCCTCAGCCATGTCCTATTCAACTGTAGCTTTAATTGGTGCCATACATGAAAATACAGAGGGCAGCTTCACGGAGTAGATGAAAGCAGGCTTTGAAATGGGACGGAATGACATTCTAATCTCAACTTTGCCACTTGGCTGTGTGACCTTGGCAAAGTTACTTAACCTCTCTGAACCTCGTTTTCCTCTCTTATAGGGTTATTGTGTTGATTAAGTGATAAAATACATGTGACGACATACAATAAGCAGTCAATAGATGGTATGCGGTTTGTGCACTGCATTTGTGAATGAGATGAGTCAGGAGGAAAGGCTAGTAAGATGCCACTGCATACTGAGGGTCCCAAAACATCAAGTGACTCACATGAATGTTTACCTCCAACAAATCAATTATACATGCACCAGATAGGGCCTTCTGGCGTAGCAGCAGCCCATGTTATAAAACTTTGGGTTTTGGCTGGTGGTCACTGGGGATGGAGCCACCAAAAGCACACGAACCCGCAAACTACAAAGACTACTGGCTTGGGCTCCAGTAAGAGCAGGGTGGTCTCGGTCTCCCTGTCTAGTCAGTCAAGAATGCAGAACCTGCTCACAGGAGCATGACCATGATGGGGAAGAGAATGGAACCTGCAGAAGAATGGCTGGGTGAGCTGGGGTCTCTAGCCTGGAAAACCAGCTGCGGCACAGGTATGAGAGCCGTCCCATCATTCAAGGCAGTCATGGAGAAGATGAAGTTGCCTGATTCCACACAGTTCCAGAAGAAAAAGTGGCACTGATATGGGGAGACTGAGGATGGAAGAGCCTGGTGGCAGTCGGGGCTGTGCGAAGATGGCCTGGATGGGCCACAGGATGGTAGAGAGCTCCCCGCTGCTGGAGATGCAGGGATGTTGTAGGAAGGAGGAGGCGGCAGCTCACTGGCTGGGGTTCAGGACTGCCTTCGAATCACTCACTGGGGAGAGACGGAGCCTTTCCCTGGTGTTAATTCTTGCCTGCTTCTTGCCACCTTGTTAAGAAGGCTGATTAGGCTGGATCGGTCACGTGATAGACTTAATTTGTCTTGCCTGGGCTCTTCAAGATTCGTAGAATGAAGTGCAAATTTCTGGAGGCCAATGCCTGGAAGACTTTTAATCAGGCCGATCAAACTTTAACTCTATGATGTTTAAAAGAAAGGGAAAGAAAGGAAAATATGCCCAAACACTTTGGCTTATCCAGGCGATTCAACCCACACCAGGCTCTGCGGAGCTGACTGGCGCTCACCTTGAGTTGTGAGCACCTGTCCAATGTGTGCTCGTGCTTCTCACCCTGAATTGCACAGGTGAGGTCACCAGCCCAGTTACCTCTGCATCACAGGGGACAGAGGTTAGGGTGTGGTATAAGGACACAATAGAGAGGATGGCCCGTGGCGCAGTGATTAAGTTTGTGCGCTCCACTTTGGTGGCCCAGGTTCATGAGTTCAGATCCCAGGCACAGATCTACATCACTCATCAGGCCATCATTTCAGTGACCCACATACACAAGAAAAAATAGAGGAGGACTGGCACAATTGTTAGCTCAGGGCTAATCTTCCTCAAACAAAAAAAAGGAAGATTGGCAACAGACGTTATCTGAGAGCGAATCTTCTATACCAAAAAAAAATAAAAGGACACAGTAGAAATGGATTTTCATTTGAAAGCACTGTACAAATGCCCATGGCGGGCTGGGTCAATTCCACACAATCTTCCAGGACCCTCTGCTTAATCAGTAGGCTCCTGAGGAGGCTGCCTGGCCAGCAGGCCAATAACTGCCCAGGCCATGTGACTGCAGCACACAAAGTGGAGGGCAAGCTAAGGAAGGCCTCTTGAAGGAGGCGACACTGATCTTGCCTTCAAAGGTAGAATTTCGGTATGCAGAGGTGTACTTAAACCCAAATCCATGTTCTGGACTCACTGTATGGAAATAGCTGCTATGGCTCTGGATGGCAGGCACTGGGACCCCCCCGCCGGTGCTCTGAAGAGGACCATTCGCTGCTGCCTTGCCCCCTCTCCCCCAGCCCATGGGCAGTAGCTGGGCATGAGCCACCTTCCTCAGTCAGGCTTACTATAAAGGAAGGGCCACATTTATCCTAAAAGCCGGGATCTGCTGGATCCTACTGGAGAATGAACGGAAGTGGGAGCCCCCAGGTTGGGGATCTGTGAAGGCGGCTTTCCTCATTAAGCAGGGCATCTGGCATTCTCATTTCTGAGTGTGTCCGGGAGGTAGATGAGCTTGAAATCAATTTAGCTTGCTGCATATTTGATTTCCTAGGACCCACTCGCCATGCCAGGAGACATCGTCAGAACTGCAGCAAGGGATCGCCATGGAGACCAGAGGACTGGCTGAACCCAGAACACGCTCCTCCACTGGCCACGGGCCTGCCAGGTAACTCACCATTCTGGGCCCTCACCTTGGGAAGCGGGAGACTGAGGCAGAAACCAGGTAGACACGTCTCAGGGAGAAATGGTGGGTACAGTGGGGTTGAAGATTGAGAGAAGAAAGGGGCAGGAGAAGAGTGGTCAGAAATCTATCTGTCAGTAATTTCCTCTTGGGTCAGGTGTTCTGAGCTCAGAAAAGTTTAAGAAAAACTGCATTTATCTGAAATTGCTTTAATAAAAAGTGATATTGAGGTCTGGCTCAATTCTGGAAGAATTCAGAAAAAAAGCCAACCAGGGAAGTTTCAGAAAAGAATTCAGAAAAAAGACCAGCCAGACGTGGGAGACCATAGGGTGGACCACAGTGGCACGCAGAGGACAATAGTGACACTGTCCCAAAGAGCCTCCGGTGGTGCTCAGTCCTGCATGCACCATAGCATGCACCCTTGCAAAAGCATTGGGAAGATTAACTAGGCTCTGTCTACCTTCTGATGACAGCTGCACGCCGCCTTCCGTAGCTCTGCCACCTCGAGGAAGTCACTGCACCTCTTCAAGTCTCATTTAGAAACGCGTCCAACAGTGCCTACCCCTCAGGCGGCTGGGAGGGCTGCATCAGAGCCCAGGGCCGACTCACGACAGGTGCTCAACACAACAGGGCTCATGATTTCCTTCCACCAAATTTTTTAACCAATGCCATAGTCATTTTACATAGTCATCTGTTCTATGGTTTTTGATTAAGGTTATTGCAAAATATTAATTTATCTATTTATTCTTCATATTTTTCACTGTGGAGGATGCTACCATTATTTATTTCACTAGTCCCATTACAGCTGGGCATTTATGTGATTTCCAGTGTTTTTGTCTTACAATGCTGTCTTAAGGTTCTTTGCAGGGAAGTGAATGCCTTCAAACCAGCTCAAGTTAAAGGGCCCAGGGCAGGGCTTGTGGAACCTAAGATACAGGCCACCTCATGGAAAGGGAGCCAGTGGGGCTCATGACGGGGAGCTGGGAAGGTAGCTGCCTTCTCCCTCTCATTTTCTCGTGGAGTTTCATGGTCTTTGCACTTTTTTTCTGCATGTCTTCTCTGTTTCCGGCTTTCTCTGCTCACACATCAGCAGGCACAAGCTGAAAATGACCTTTGCCATATGACCTTGAGTTGAAACGCCCAACTCCATCTTGGAGTGGCTCTTAGTTCAGAGGTTTGAGTGACTCCCTGCGAGTCAGGTGACCATCCCTGAGCCTGTTGGCTGAGGCTGGAGCAGGGAGTATGACCGTGGTTCCACATCCTCAGCAGAGGGAGGATGGGGGGGTGGGGCGCATCCGGAGCAGACAGCTTGGGCTGGGCAGCCACCCCATGTATGCCTGCAGCATCGGCTCTAAGCATCTCTGTGCATGGGAAGTTTTCCTGCTTCAATTTATTCTCTTTGGCTAAGGTCACGGTAGTGTGACTAGGGTCAAAGTGTGTAACAATTCATGACATTGTTCCAGGTTACTCAGAACTGATTTTATTGGGGACGGGGCGTTCACTGAGGATGCCACATCAGGGAAACCAGGCCCCGAGATACAGGGTCAAGTCTCTCTTCCGTTCCCCTCGGGCAGAGGCAGGGATGGCAGGAGGCAGGGCTGAGGGAAGGCTTCCCACAAAAGCTGGAGCTAAGACGAGCTCTGGGGACAAGGCCTGCGGGGTCTCAGAGCTTGAGGCCTTGGTGGGGTCTGGCTCTGGGAGAGGGGTCAGGGCAAGCTGCAAAGGAACTTCTGTACAGGTCTAGGGGGAAAACGAGAATTTGTATGAGAAACAGTAAGACAAGAGTTGGGGAAAGAATCTAAATTGTATCCGGGTGCTTGTGCATTTAAACCCTGCTCTAAATTTCCTACCATTTGGAAATGCATTTTTACTCTTCCTATGCTTCCTGGTCATAACAGAGCCCTACAGGGGCAAAGAGGATGGACAGGCAGGAAAGCTGGCTAATGCCCTGTTTGAAGGATCGTGCCTTTGGTAGGGTCAAGATGTTAAAAGGACAAAGCCCTAAAGAAGACAATGTCTCTTTTCAGAGAAGCTCCGTCTCAGGCCGCAGGTGACAGAGGAGAAGGGAATAATGGTCCGGCAGAGGGGAGGTGCAAACCTGAGCCCCCAGGGCCCCAGGACCATGTCCTGCTGGTCATCTCTGCTTCTGCTCGGACCCTTGAGGAGAGGGTTTCCAACTCCTTCTCTGTGCCCACTGGCTGTCTGTGCCCTTCCAGGTTGTCGCACCTTATCATCTCGCTGCGCGCCTGGGCCTCCAGGCACTTACACCGCCAAGACGGGAGACCTGACTCTTTTCTGGAGCGTTTTGGTGGAGCCGAGCTCAAGGAGGTGTCCAGTAGAGAAAGCAATGCCCAGTCCAACGTGAGCAGCCAGGAGCCACGGAACAGAGGGAGAAGGTAAGAAACCAAAAAAGAGCAAGAGCTGCCTGCACCAGACAGGGCAGGGCAGGAAGCATTTGCCTGCTCTGTGCAGCCCGGATCCACCACACCCGAGGGTGACCCTGGAGCCCCGCCCCCTCAGCAGTTCCTTGAAGAAGAAATCTGTCTTGGAGGAGCAGCCACACTCTAACAGTCCCTGTCCAGATCCAAGAAGCCCTGCAGGAGAGGAGACCCTTTAACCAGAGCCCCCAGCCTCATTCTACCACTGACCCCGTCCTACGTGGAGCTCCCTGGAATTAGTGTTCTCAGAAACCATCTGGGGATACTGGCTTCACCAGTCCGTTAGACCAGGAGCCTCAAGGAGTATCTAAATGGAATCCACAATTGTATGCCTAGGTATATGTGCATTTTTTTGGGAAGAAGGTCAGAATTTTCAAGGGGAATCATCCAGGTCCCAGATCAGGTTAAGAACTATGGGGGGCGGTGGATGGGGGATGGGGAGAGTGTTTGCTTTTTGGTAAGAGAAGGATCTGCAGAGCAAGGATTCTGAGCATCTTCTTGCATGGCCCCCCGCCCGACTGGGAGCTTGTGGCTGATGCCGTCGGCACAGAGAGGTAGAGAAATTGGCAGGTGCTGGACTGACACCTCCCAGGACCCGCCCCACACACAGCCCACACACAGAGCTGCGGCCTCCCCCTTCTTGTTCTTGAGAAGTCTCCCCACCCAGTGGTCAGCCGGGAGACTGCTGGGCCACCACAGGTTGTATCAGTTGTCTCTGAGCAGCCGAGGTCTCTTCAGGACGGTCAGGGCAGGTGGAAGGGACAAGGAGGGGAAGCAGGCCTCTCTTTAGCCTCACAAAGTCCTCTTAGCGAGGACTTTGGCTCAGAATCTGCTTTCTGAAAAAGGGGGTTTAAAAAGATCCTGCGGCCGAATTCCGTAGGTAATGCCAAGATTTACAAGACGTAAAGATGAAAATAAGCAGGAGTGTGGCAGAACAGACGGTCCCTATAGAATTTGCTAGAGAAAATGCCATCTGTCTTTGTGTCAAAGAGCAGAAGAAGGACTCAGGTGTAGGCATCTGGGCCCCTGGGGAGTGAAGGTCCTGACGCCTCAGAGGAAACAAGATGGATCTTCCTGAAGCTTCCATCTTGCTTCCATATTTGTATGTGTATATGTATGTGGGGGGAGCATATTTTTATTATAGGTTATGAATTAGATTGCAAAATGTACAGGCGTATTTAAGAAAATACGAGACTTCAAGGAGATTTCTTGCTGGTGGCCACATTAGGAGACCCCCGTTTAGTCTTCATTGCAGGGGAAAGGTGTGAGAGCGGCTGGCTGAGCTCCGAGGGTCCCCTGGAACAGCATTCTCAGGCTCACATTTTCACACGAGCTTCGGCTACAAACCCTCAGACTCCCTGGGCTGCGGGAAAGGGACCGTGGAGGGCCTGGGTGCCGGCTTGGGCATGTGCAGGGTCATCCCAGGTTCCCAGAGCCAGACATCCCAGACGGTGAGGGAGCTCCATGACTGTAAAGCCTGTGTGCTGTTCACTACTGAGCCAGGAAGACGGGGAGATGGCAGCTAAAGAAAAAGAGAAGATGGAGAGAGAGAGGCAGGAGGAGAAACAGGAGGGGCGGAGGAGAAAGAGGTTTGCTAGCAAGCCAGCCAGACTGGTTCAGTCCTCTTGGGAAAGCAGAGACTTCCCTGGCTTAATTGATCAAATTCTCCTCTCCACAACCTTAGACTAATGGAAATGAACATTAGATTCTTTGTTTCCCTGTGTGATCAGATGAGCAGAGGCTTGAGCTAGGACCCCGTCGGGGCAGCCCTGACTATACCACAGATGCCTGTCCACTCACTGGAAGGTTCAGAGTGAGTAGATGAATGCAGTGGTGCAGAATAATAGCTGATCAATCAGGGAGGCCTCCTTAGGGAGGAAGACTTTGAATTTTCCAGGCTAAGTCCCTTGGCAATGCAAAATGTGTGCAGAGACGGGCCTTAGTTCTCCTGTGGGTTTCGCCTTATGAGATTATGGGCACAGAAGCGTGGTAAACGTGGGCCACTGCACCCCAGGAGCTAAATTTTCCTTCGCGATCTCCCAGGGCTTTGATTCCTCGACGGCTTTCCGATGATCAGAACCAATCCTGAAACACGCAGTTGGAGCCACGTGCTGGTCGGGGAGAGGGAGGCTAGCGCAGGGTGAGCAGAAGGACCAAAATGGCATTTGGCGAGATGTTCAGCATCGTGGAAGAGGGGCCCTGAGAGTCGGGCTGGCGTGTCACTGGCCACTAGCTTTGGTCCCCAGGGTCTCCAATGAGCGGTCTGCAGTGACCACAGACAAGCAAGCCACCGCCCAGCTCTGTGAGGCCAAGCTGGATTTCTGACACCAGCTGTGTCAAAAACGTGTACCAGCAGTTGGACACCTGGAGATAATACTCTTTCCTATAGAGCACCATGAGGTACTGAGCGACTCAGCTTTAAATAAATGTCCAGTTGGGTGCAAAACTAGCCCCCACCTTCTAGCCAATTCTCCCACAGATCAGGTGGCAGGGCCTGAAGTTTTAGGATTAACATGGGGGCAGGGGACACAGCAAGGACAGACTAAACACTGGGACAATTCTGCCCGTGGTCTATGTTTTGCTTTGCAAATTGGAAGCCGCTGCTGTGATCGAGTTTCCAGGGAGCCACCCTTGGAGAGCCAAGCCTCTACAGATGAGGTAGCAAGTCGTCGTGGCTGCTGAATGTGTCCGTTCTGGTGGGGAAGGCTCTCGACCTGCTTCACCAGAGAGCACCCACAGGGCAGGTTCCACAGGGGGTCCATTTCTGTGCCCCTCATAGAGCCTGGCACGCTGCCCGGCGTATGGTTAAACTGAAGGAAATCGAGCGGAATTCGAGGCCAGGAGGCAGGATGGGATTCCAGCAGTTAATCCCTGTTTATTCAGAAGCCTCCGTTTAGCCAAGCGTTCATCCTCTCCCCCACAGCTAACTAGTCACAGAAAATTTTGCCCCTGACAATAACAACACCCTCTGTTCTTCAAGCTGTGTGCTTGAAGTGTGCTTCTGTGTGAACCCCAGGAGACCGGGGGTGGGGGCCCCAGAGTAGTCACCTGGGGGCAAATGGTCCCCACGATCCGAACTGAGTTCAGACTCCCATGCTGCGTTCTCTCCGCCTCCCTGCAGCGGCTGGCCCCTGGCCAGAAACAATGTCAACTCCAGCAACAACTCAGAGAAGTGAGTACCTCTGCTCGCCGCAGGGCCCCGCTTGCCTCCCCCGTCTCTGTGGCCACCCTCCTCCCCATGGAAGCCCCAGCTTTGCCTCCCTCCTTAAGTGCTCCTGCCTCCCACCCACCCAAACACCACTAGATTACTCTAGCATCCTGTTCCTTTTATTGGAAATCTGTCCCCATGGACAAACAGAGGGAAGGGACCTGCTCTGTATGACTTCTTTGGACAAGTCATTTTATCTCTTTGTCTCTGATTATTCTTATCTATAAAGCAAAGGGTTGGATCGGATAAATGTTTTAAGTTTTAACACCCTCTACTGCTAGATATTCCACGGTGGCAAACTGGGGTTCCTTTACAGAGCAGTGGGTCTTCTCCTTCTGATGAGAATGCATTTTCTGTTCTGCAACCTCAAGCTCCCGTGTGCCAGTGAAATGCCCTTGTCTTAAGGCCAATTTGGGCCAATTTGAAGGGTATAATCGGGGCAGTGGAAAAAGGAAATTTAAATATTTCCAGAGATTAGCCTTCTGAAATCGTGACGCGCTGTAATTGTTTTCCATCACCAGATGCTGAGCCGGCAGATCAGTTTGACGTGTGATTCTGACAAGCGCCACCCAAGAGCCCAGGGAGGGCGTGTGCATGTGTGTGTGGGCATACACGTGTGTTAGCGTGTGTGCGTGTGTGCACTGTTCTCCAGTCTCCCTTTATGGAATACCGTGGGGGTCTCATGAGAGGTCTCATCTTAGAGAGAAAGCCCTCAATATCCACAAGAAGCACCAATTTCTTGACTTCCAATTGAAAGAGAAACGTGCCAGGGCTTTTTCTTGTTATTTCCCTTTGTTCTTCTGATAGAACTTTTTTCCATTTCCTTCCATGAACCTCTGTTGCATTTTGTTTACATAAATTTGGACATCAAATTCAGAGACCTAAATGCCAGCAATCAAGAAAAATGATTTAACTACAAAATAATGGTTATTGCACTATGTGTTGGATGTAAAGCCAAACCTGATATTGAAACCCTGGTGCTGAGTCTCAAAATCAGCAAAGGCTCAGGGCACTGGAAACCACCGGTGGAGGTCCTGTGGGTCTCTAGGCTTCTCTGTCCTGAGGCTGGGCTGTGGGTAAGGATGGAGGCAGATGGTGTTGGTTGCACCAGGCTCTTATAAATCCTTTCAGATGGGCTCATATCATGGGTCCACACTGCAGCCAAGGACCGAGGGACAAAATGGGAGGCTGTCCCAAAACGGGGCCACCTGGACACAGAAGATACGGAAATAATTCTTATGGACACCCTCCTCCATTCTTCCACCACATTTCTGGCATTTTCACTTGGTCTCATGGGTCCTGAACAATTTCTCCCTGCCGGATCAAACTATTCCTAGCCAAAAGCAGCATCATTTCACAGCTCTGAGTAGGTCTTTTGGGGCAGTGCTGGATGGATCTGAGGACGCAGCTGGATGGCACTGGGTCTTTCCTAGGCCCTCAGCAGGTTGGTAGCCAGAGGAAAGGCCCAGACCTGGATAAATCCTGGACCAAAAGCCCTGGGCAAGGGTGGCTGAGCCTGGTGTCATTAAACTCCCAGCAGGGCTAAATGTGCCGACAAGCTTGTGGGCAGCACCCTCTGCCGGTGCCTTGACATTAAGACCAGAGGCAGGAAGCAGACTCCAGTAGACTCAAGACGTCAGAGGATGGGTGACTGTCCTTATTCTTCTCATTTAACGATTTTAATAACTTCTTATTGTTACTCAATTTATTAATACACTCATTGTCAAAAACTTTTAAAACACAGAAAAGC